CCCCCCCCCCCGCCGTTTTTCCAGTTAATTTTACGGGGGGAAAAAAACAGGAGACGAAAAATGGAGTTGGATTTCTGGGTTTTTACTTGTGTTTGAAGTGATTAGCTTTTTTATCGGATAGGTTTTGATTAGAAAGAAGTGTGTAGGATGATTGAGTTTGATTTTAGTGTTATGATCTCTTTCGGTTAAATTTTCTCAGGAAACATTCAGAAATTGTTGAACCTTTATTTGTTCCGGAGTTCCGATTGCTCAGCATCCTCATTAGGATATGTTGATAAGTGGATTTGTATGATTCCTTTGGCTAAATTTGAATTTATGAGAATTGGTTGCGGTACTACATTGCTTTGCGTTTATACCGTGCTGGAGCCTTTTGTTTTGTATGTCTGGAAAAAATTGTTGTTTGAATTAGTAGAACTGCGCACATTGGCCTCTAAGCCCTTCTTGCTTCATTTGCCAAATTCGCAAAAATGGATGCCCCTCTGTAATGTGGGTATTATGTGCGAATTTGATTATGTATCAAAAGTGTTTTTATACAACGGGTCTATCGGTTGATAGAAAGATAAACCCCACTTTGTGACATTTACCCCTAGTTTCTTGAGTGCATTTTGAATATTGGATCAAAACATTTTCTCCAGAAACTCGAAATATTGCTGAAATGCAGTGGAATGTGGTGAGACGAGCTCATTCTTTGTGGTTTTCTGTTGATTCTGCGCTAGCAAGCAGCAAAATGTGCAAGCGTTTATCACAGAACACTCATTTGCGTCGTGCTTGTATTTCAGTCTCGCACTTTGCAGCCATGTCAAGTTTGGAGGAGCCACTTGGTTTTGACAAGCTGCCAAGAATGACCACAGATAGAATCCAGAGATTTTCATCTGGTGCTTGTCGTCCCATGGCTGATGATTTGGGCATGGGAGGCTGCTGGAATGAGGGAAGTGATTGCTTCACTTCAAACAATTGCAAGTAAGTGGGTTTTATCATTCGTTTCTTTCCTCTTGTTCGAGAGTGAGCTTGCATTATTCAGTGCTATATGAGTGGAGATCTTATCAAATTGTTTCTTTGCAAGTAGAAGGCGTCCTCCTTTCTTTACAATATCTAGTTTCCTTTAGCTTGTTTCAAAATGCAGATACCAAATTATCATTTCTTGCGGTCGTGAAACTTCTGATTATTTACAGTGATGATGATGAAGATTGTGGTAGAAAAGGTTTTCCTTGGAGAAGACATACCAGGAAAATGTCTGAAGAAGAGCTCATCCTTCTAAGGACTTCAACTTTGGGAAGATATTATACCACTTCTCAAACTTTATGGGAAAACCAATACTTGCAGGATCATAAATATAGTACCATTAGCAATGAGAGGAGCATACACCATTCAACTAACAAGGTAACTTGCTTAATGATCAAATAGAGTTTCCCGTTACATGTGCTTAAAAGGTAGCTATTCCTTCTGCATAAGAGATTGTGTTTCAAATGCATCCCTCAATTTGATTCAATTTTTTCATTTCACACGTCAAGATTACAGTCCAAATTGTAGGATGAGACTGGTGAGAATTTTAGTTTCTTTCTCTCTTATTCTTCACTTTCTGTGTGGAAATACAGATTTTTGTAGATGTACAAGAATTTGTGAAGATTGTGGAAGTTGGTCCAAGAGACGGTCTACAGAATGAGAAAAATATAGTTCGACATCTGTTAAGGTTGAACTAATTCAGAGATTGGTTTCTTCTGGATTGCCTGCGGTTGAGGCAACAAGTTTCGTATCACCTAAGTGGGTTCCCCAGGTAATGTTGCTTCTATTATTTAATCATGATGGTGCAATACATCATTATTTGATGCCTTGATGGGGTTTTGCCCTATCATTCCGCTTGGAAAGTGATTATCTTGTGCAATTATATGTCTTGATGGAGGCAGGCACTTGCAATACACTAAAAAAGATGGGGATGCATCTGTAGTTGTAGATAATCCAAAGTAAATATGCAGCATGTTTCTTGGGTAGCCTTGTACAAGCTGTAACAGTGAATTTCTATATTTTATTATCTTGGTATTTACAATTTGCTAACTAGGATGAGACATTGAGGCTTCAATCTGTAATGATCAATAATTCACGTAAAATATTAACTTGTTTCGCCAAGAGCATTCACAACTGAAACAGTAAGCTTCTATATTTTGTTGGATTGGATTGCGTATGTCGTCAGCAGTCTATTTAGTTGCCTTGTTGGAGAAATAAATAAACTAGTAAAAAACGATACCCCATTGTGTTCATGAAACAAAACCTTGAAGAAGAAAAAAAATGTTCTTCGCTTGTATTGTTTATTACAATCTATTGCCATATCAGAGCAATTTAAACTGCTTTATAAAGGCAACATAATATGGACCATGAATTGTCAAACTTTATGCTTATGGACAGAAATTGTGTTACAGCTTTATTTTGTTGCTGCTTTTAGCTTGCTGATGCAACGGATGTATTGGCTGCAGTCAGGACACTAGATGGCGCTAGGCTACCTGTTCTGACACCCAATCTAAAAGTATGCATCCTATATCTCTTGACGGCCTTGCAGAAAATCTCTTCAGTTGTCTTGATTATGAATACTAACCCGCATGACCTGCTTCATTTAGGGTTTCGACGCAGCTGTCGCTGCAGGGGCTAAGGAAGTTGCTGTCTTTGCATCAGCTTCTGAGTCATTCTCAAGGTCGAACATCAATTGCACCATTGAAGAGAGTCTCTCTCGGTATCATGTTGTTGCCAATGCTGCGAAAGAGCGTTCAATTCCTGTCCGTGGGTATGCTCTACATTGATTTTCTTGCTTTCCATTCTTTGTCTGTTCCTTGAGCCTGATGTTTGTGAATACGAATGCAGCAATTTAATTGTAATTCCAAGTCTAAAAGGTTTTAGTTAAGTGCTGATGGACATGACATTTTAAGCTGTTGACTTTGATGATCGTGGATCAGTCATTGGACTTGTTTTGGTTTCCTACCTAAAAGTTAGTGTAGTTGTATCATGAACAACTAGCTATTTCCGTTGGCTGGTAGATCAGGTTAAACCCTTATCTGCTATGTTCCCTACCTTGGACTTTAATAGTTTATGCAATTTTTTGAATAGTAATGTGTCTGTTATGTTTACCTCAGTCCGGTTTAATGTCATATCGTGGACCCAGTGGAGTCTTTTGTGGTTCATATTTATGGTAGTATCAAACTCATTTCAGTTACTCGGTTCTGATTTAATTTGTCTTTGTTACAGACGCATCTAATTTCAGTTGTCAACTATTCATGAGACATCATATATTCTCCTTGGCTCTAATATAGATGTAATGTTGAACAACTTCTGAAGGTATGTATCTTGTGCTGTTGGGTGTCCAGAGGAGGGAGCTGTTCCCCCCACAAAAGTGGTTTATGTGGCAAAAAAACTCTACGATATGGGCTGCTTCGAGATTTCTCTCGGCGATACAATTGGAGTTGGTACGCCAGGTGCTGCCTCTGCTTATGCGCATATATGTATATATCTATGTGTGTCTGAGCGTATGTGTACTGACATGATTCCTTAAGAGACCAGGTACTGTGGTTGCCATGCTTGAAGCTGTCATGGAAGTTGTGCCTGCCGACAAGCTCGCTGTTCATTTCCACGACACTTATGGGCAAGCTCTTGCAAACATTCTGATTTCTCTCCAAGTAAGTCATAGAAGAAATCTAGGTGATGATGGGTATATCTATTCATTGTCCATGTCTTGACTTAGAATTCGAAGCTTGTCCTTGCCTAAGATCGAGCAGGAGTGGTAACTTGTTATGGTGAACAGATGGGGATACGGATAGTGGACTCATCGGTTGCGGGATTAGGAGGGTGCCCTTACGCGAAAGGAGCATCAGGAAACGTAGCAATGGAAGACGTGGTTTACATGATGAATGGTCTAGGCATCCAAACCAATGTAGACTTGGGGAAGCTCTTGTCCGCTGGAAAATTCATCTGCAACCATCTCGGCCGCCCCTCTGGTTCCAAAGCCGCCTTTGCCCTCATCACAGCCGATTCTTCCAATATATGATAACCTATGTATGTATGTATGTATGTATGTATGTATGTATGTATGTATGTATGTATGTATGTATGTATGTATGTATGTATGTATGTATATATGTACGTATGTATGTAGTATAGAGTAATAGTTGTCTTATCGGCACCGAACTATAAATCTAGATATATCTTGGATTTCGAAATATATTAATCCCAACATGTTAAATAAGTAAATAAAAATGTTATGTTAATAAATTCTACTATAGTCTTTCTTTGACTGGAAAAAAAAAGAGAAGAAAATCTAAATTTATTTTCTCTGCGAATTCTCTAATTGTAGGTGACAGAATTTCAAAATACCATAATTGTAGTAAGATGATTAATAATTTTTCTAATTATAGTTTGAATAGTGTATATACATATTATTATTATTAACTAATTTACCGCTCGGGGAAATTACAAAAATATCTTTCAAGTTCATCCATTTATGAAATTGTAGCTGTCCTTTGAATTTATGTCATTTCTTTTGTCATCGCATTCTCTCTCTGTCTCGCCTTTCGGATAGGCCTCTCATTCTCATTTCTATCTAAATACTCGGATATAATCGTAAATAACAGTAACCAAAATTCGCAAATTTAAGATCTAAACCCTAAATTATCGGATATCATTGCGTACCAGATGCTGTATACGACATGAACTCTCTATCTGCCCAATTCTCTTCTCGCTAGTGATTTTACAAAGAAAGAAAGGTGAACATATTTTAAATGTTATTTCACTGTTGAAATGGCTAAAATAATAATCACAAAAAACGCTCTATGGAAATAAAAGAAGATCTGCCTCTTTATAGAAAACACGAGTGAAATAAAAACAAGAAGACTAGAAGAAAAATAACGAAGTTCTACCGAAAGAAGGAGATCATTTTAAATTCTCCGGTATTGCAAAAGGCGTGAGAGATATGTCTTAAGGCATAAGGTTCTACCCTATGTGACACGTCACCTAGAAAGATAACCTAAGGCATCAATAGATTTTCTTAACAAAGACTTAGCTTCTTCATTCTTTTCGACTTCGAGCAGAGAGAGTATCTCCGCCTTGAAATCCACGTCGTCCACCCGATGCACCGATGAAACCTTGCGATACAGATGGATGAGATCAAGCAGGCATTGCGAAGCCGCCACATGAACCTGAGGTTTATGGTCAAAACATTCAAGAAGAAGCATAAGATTCCCACAGATACAGCAATAAATATCAACTCAGGATTTCAAAGACTGTTGGTAACAATGGAAATGGATATACTATTTATAAATCTTAGTCTTGAGCATTCATGGGAATTGCAGAAAAAGTAGCATATTGTTCGGTTTTAAAAGATCTACCACTACTGCAGAAATCTTGGTAAGTTTTTTGGTTTTCATCAATTTTGAATTTGTGCAAGAATTAAACAGATAAGAGCTACAGATAGAGAATAACTTACGTGAGCAATCTTGACGGTGTTTATGCATTCCAGTAATTTAGGGATCAAAGTGAGATAGATCTGAAACCGCAGCAGAAAAATTCAGTGCACCAATAGAAACCGCGTATACATATGAATAAACTCAGAGCAAATACCTCATGAGTGAAGGAAGTTGCATCGCCAGGTAAAGGCCCGTCCGTAGAGTCATTCCACAGAGTTTGTAGTCTTGAACAAAGCTCTTTTATAGACGAAATTCCCGATATTTACGCTGCCCAGAGGAATCAGATTAGCAAAGGCAACAAACAAAAATGTTAGTTCCTACAAGTGAGAGTAGGTAGAGAGAGAGGAGTACCTGACCATGGGAAACCCGGTGACAAGGAAATTATAAGAATATGAACCAAATCTGCTTTCCGCTTAAGAATGTCATCTGTGTTCGCCACATTGATGCACGACTTAAAACAGTCCATGATTTTGTCGAGCGGAATGTAACCCTCTTCCACATTATCAGACTCTGCAAAGAAGAAAGTTACAGTTTACATCATGTATACCCCTCCATGAGTAATGGTGACTCATTTCCTCAATTGGTTTTTGGAGTTCAGAAGGTTTAACAGTATTCTTGGAAAGGCAAAAACTTGACATGCAGTGCAGATAAGCCTATGCTTATCCTATGCTTCCAGTAGAAGTAAATATTCACCCCACTAAATGAGGCATGATGCAGGTTTAATATGACCACACAAATGATGCAGAGGTTTTTATTGTTGAACCAGGGAACTTATGAAATTGAATATTGCTTGTGTAACAACCAGTTTTAACAGCATCACTTGTTGATAAAGCTCGTCCTACGGTATTGACAGAGGCTGTATTACACATCTCATAGAGCAACGGGAAAACAGCATCGAAAAACTCTGGATTTCTGAAAGCTTTTATCACCTGAAAACATGAACACCAAAAACCTTAACGATCCTTAAAGATATACGAGTGAACAGAAGAAAAACCTCCAGAATCCTCAGCAAGAGTGAAAGCGCAATAGAAATCCATTTTCCCTCCAAGAACACAGTATAATTAGACGACACATCCATTGTTTCTTCAAACATTAAAAACTTATGCTGAAGACTCAATTCAGGATTTAAATGTAAACCAAGGAACTATCCACATAATACATCTATTGTAGTCTGGAGAGCCAACACTGTAGACGAAGTTGATAATTAACCAGTTACAAAATAATAAGCCTGATCTTTTCACTCACCTTCTCCAGACAGCAGAATGCCGACTCATGATATTTTTTGACCTTCTTTCCACACGCAGAAGACACAACACTCAGAATGGCACTAGGACTTGTTGGATCCGCGGTAGATATTGACTTGTGGCAAGAGGTTGAAAGAGCACCTAGTGCATCCAAAAGAGCATCCTTTCCCTGTGATCACAACAACTGTGAGAAACTAACAGGTAACAAAGCGTCAGCTCCTTAAACATTTATACCTATCAATCCACAAAAGGATACAGGAACAGGAGAAGCAAATTTAGATAGAGCGATAAAACTAAAGTCACTCTCAAATATAATTCTTTTACTGACAACGATCTATTCGAAAGCTCTTTTTGTTCCTTTGGTACTTCTAGAAAACAACAGGAGGAAAAGAACTCGTCCCACCTCCTAAAGCCGTCCAGGAATTTCCTTCAGGAGACATTGCAGCAAAATGCTGTTGTGCGAAGATAATGATTCACCCAAAGCCTCAGCTAGTTTGCAAATTGCCCGAGCAGACTGAAAGCAGGCGTTGTTTTTTTTAGTACCACACCAAAAAGACTGATTCAACAAGCAAGATAGAAAATCCGGCCGGAGAAAGATCAAACAATGCTTGCCTTCTTTTTGCTGGCCCATGAAGATGATGTCATGCTCTCACAAAGAAGACTGACAATTTCTTCCAGAAATAACTGAAGGGTTACTCTTTCACCACTTGTACTATCTTCCCAGACCTCCTCAAAAAGGCCAGAACATCCTCGAATCTGCAATTTCATCATCTGTGCTGGTTAGCGAGCATTTTCAAATGGAAAATAAGAAAAGCACGATCCAGTAACGAGGCTACTATTTCCAGAAACACTGAGAATAGATTTGAAGATGGCACAGGAAGTTTCGTCAACAAACTGGTCAGGCAGCAGGCTGTGTATCTGATGTTTATCTAGTTTAAATGTAAATATGATCAGGCTTAACTCAGACTGGAACGCTAAGTTGGACATACATTGGCATTCTATCTCTATCTTCAACGTCATGTTTTTTGACAAAGTTAAATTCATTGAGTCTACACATTACACAGTCCAAGTAATCTTGTGTCCTCCCCAGCGTGCAGAGACGGGATATATGCAACCCGGAAGCAAAAAAAACTAGAAAAGAGAATCTTTAAAACCCTTCAAAATCATATTGATAACATTATTTTGAAATAATGGCGCGACCGGTTAACAGTTCAGAACAATTTATACCAAAACAGAAACACAGAAAGAAGGTACAAAACTAAGAAAACAAGCATGCAGTCAACCACGAGAAAATATGCACGAATTAGGCGGACAACTGTTCCACGTCATTGAGTCTTTACTGGGAAAAATAGATAATCAGAAATGACCCAACCCATGACTACAGGGTAACAGAATTAAGTTGAATTGCTTCTGATAAAATAGATTGTTGGGTTGTTTCTGAGCATTTCTCTCAAGATACCATGACTAGGCAATTCAAACGTCCTTTTAAATGCACATAACAATAAAATACTACAATGGTTTAACTTTACATTAAGTTATCTAAGGTTGTACACCAACTATGTATGCTACTAAATGAAGTGTTGGAATTACTGACCTTGTATTGAGGCCAACACCAGCACGAACCAGCTTGCGAGCCAAGAAAGATTACCAAAGATCAAGTTTATTTTTCATCTACACAGCTGATAAGGTCACCAAAACATAGAGATGGAAACTGGCCTGAATTCTCTTACACGACACGACATAAATGTAGAATATAACTCTTATAGAAACTATAACTATAAGGGACCAAACTGAATTGATTCTTCAACTGTAACGGACAAATTCAAGACAAAAACTATTCCTCCATATCCTCCTCATACTCGTCTTCTTCTTCCTCTTCCTCGTCGCTGAGCTTGAGATCTACCAGCAACTCTTCGATCGGGACAGAAGGAGCACCTTCCCCGTCGGTCATAGAAGTCGTTTCAGAGGGCTGATAATCCTTGTCCCGGTACAAGGATACGTTAAACCTAAGTTCCGGATTCTCCTCAAGATCCCTCAAGAACTCTTCGTATTCCTTGCTTATCTTCTCTTCATCGCCTCTGCCTCTAGGATCACTGGTTTCCATCGGCAGCGACTTGAGCTTCCATGAACGAGGCTTATTCTTTTTCCTTTCCCTCTGCTCCTCGTAGCTCTTCTTGATCAGGATCACCTCGGGAAGTGAGCCGGTCATCCCGTGCTTCTCCAGCTCATTGTCATTCACGTTAGCCGCATAGAGATCATAGCCCAGAGCTTGATCCCCAGGTTTCAAGATATGGCCTAGATGTGTTGGGATGTAAAAGATGTGACCGATGTCCGATTCACGAGCCACCTGGGCATAGGACAGAGCATACTTTGTTCCACCGGCAGTTACTTCCCCAACTGGAGGTTCCACATCGAAGACAAAGTACTTCACGAGCTGTCTGCTGGTGAGTGCGGATCTAAACCTGTATCTCCAATACTGTTTTGCATCCAAGAAAGCATGCCGTAAGGTTATAGGATCGAGAAGAGTGATACTGTCGGATACCTTAGTGCAAATCACGATCGGGCCAAGGTTTCCCAAACTGCTGGCCACTTTTTGTGGCAAGCAGACAAGATCCTCGCGGCAAATGGGACAGATCTCAACGGAGAAAGTGTACTTGTAGTTGTAGTTGTTGCTCTTGGAATCATGAGAGACCAGACTCTTGTCATGGCGATAATCAACCGGAACAAGTTTACGCAGAAAGTCCACAAAGTTAACGGCATGACTCCTGTTCCCAAAGAAAAAATCAATACCCTGATCCACCTGTTGTATTCTGATGGCCCGAGAAGCTGCATCGTGTTTCAGTATCAGCTGTTCTAGATAGAAGAAGGTCCGTCGGTGAGGAACGTGCTGCCGGAGCTGAACCGAGGCAATCCATTGATCCGGGTTAGCCTGAATTCTAGAGCACGGGTCACACATCTGGTCTCTTACCGTGTATTCGACAACGTAAGCTTGCTCAAGAACCGCACCGTTGAGAACTTCTTTCTGAACTCTCAGCTTAACCTTGATCCTCTTGGAATGAGGCTCTGTCCAAACGAATTCAGCGTGAACCAACCTCACCTTATTCAGATTCTTCAGCCTCTTGACGCAGAAAGTCAAGAGTTCCTTCGATTCCCATTGAGCTTTGAGCCAAGTTTTTGGTGGCTGCAAATAACAATCGCACTCGGGGCAATGGATTATCAGAACCTGTTTCTGCAATCCTTCTGTGATGTCGACTTCAGAACGGAGACAAGTAACGCACATATTGGCGGCGTTCGGTGCCATGGGAACACCGCACTTGCAGCACAGAACGCTGCCGACAGTTTGATGAACGGTGAACATGCCTGATTGTTGATTCATCGTTAAACTCTGCCACATCAAAGAGAGAAAAGCCAGAAATTTACATCAAAAGGGAAATTACTCAGAAATATATTCAAAAGGGAAATACAAACTATATGTTCCAAAACAACTATATGTTCAGAGACTATATGTTCCAAAGCAATCTGTCAACCAATATGCATAAACTCAGAGAAGAAAAAGCCAAGAAATCGAAAACACAGTTACACAGGAATCTCTAAACTTGAAGAGAAGCGAGATGGAGATGTAGATATGGGTCGAATAGTCACCGTCGATCGGAATAAACTGCACCGAGTCGTACCATAAATGCTCACCGAAATAAAACGACAGAAATCGGCATTTTCAGAACACATTGATATCATGGAATGGTTTATTAACAATGCCGAAATCTACTTCCCAAACGTCCACTGTCCAGACCAAAAGAGAAAGAAACAACAATGAACACAGACAATACATGAACGAACAAGGAAGACAACTACAGAAAAAAAAATTGGTCGAACAGAGGCGGCGAACCCGACCACATCGGGAACCCAAGATCAAGGCGACGAGGGAGAAGTTCTTACCGAGGGAGAGAAAGAAAATGGTCGAACAGAAGCGGCGAAGACAGACGGCGAGGGAGAAGACAGAAGCGCAAGGCGACGAGGGAGAAGCGCAAGGCGACGAGGGAGAAGCTCAGGCGAAGACAACCTGTAACAAGGAGAACACTTAAATCAGGCGACGACGGAGAAACGGAGGCTGAATAGAGACAGACGGCGAAGACAGAGGCGGAGCAAAGAAGAGACGAGGGAGAAGCCCTTACCGAGAGAGAGAAGAGGCGGACGAAGAGAGAGCACGGCGATGATGGAGGCGGAAGCTCAGGCGACGACAACCGGAAAGCTCACAAGAGGAGCTCAGCGTTTCAGGCGACCAGAGTCGAGAGTGATGGAGGGCGGAGGCGCAACAAATCGCGAGTGGGAGAGAGACCGAGTGGCGAGTGAGAGACTGAGTTAGATAATTAGGGTTAGTGTTACGTTTTAGGAATAGTTTTGTAAATAGATTAAACTAAGGGGTTGTTTTATAATTTTTGTAATTTGTATACGTTTTAGGAGACAAAATAACAAAAATAACCTTAAAAATGACAAGAGCAACAAATATACCCTCAGAATATCTAGAGTTTTCTATAAAACCAACATTTTTGAAAAAATTACAATAAAACCAAAATACTTAGTAGGACCAAATTTTCTCGGTATGACTAGTTCAAAAACAGTCAGACTAGTCCGAAAAAGTATGATCAGTTCAAACGGTCTGACCAGTCTGACTAAATTTTAGTCTAACAAAACCTAAAAATCCTTACGATTTCTACTTGGTATCAGAGCCAGACAACGATTATGGATAACAAAAAAATTAATTTTTCGAAAGGATTACCATTAATATTAACAAACCAAGATGAATGTTATCCCGGATTTCCTTATAAAGGAAAGGTGATAACAATACCCAAAAATCTTCATAACCAAAGCCGATATTATATTGGTACCATCTTCGACGATGATATTAATCATAATCTCGGAAATAAAATAAAGAAAATATGATTCACCTTAAATAATATTGTGGAAATGATTTCTTATGGAATCATACACCAAAACCCAGAAAATCACGAAGAATTAAAAAGAAATATCGAAAATATAAAATCAGATCTAGAAAATCAATTACAAAAATTAATAAAAATATTCGAACAAAACCATGAAAAACAAGATGAAACTAAAAATATAAACAAAAAGTTAGAAGAAATAATATATCTGCAAGAAAAAAGCATTAAAGAAATGAAACAACACTCTGAAAAATTAAAAGAATATATTAAAACAATAATAGGATGACCGAAACTATAAAAGAAACTATAGAAAAATTAATTAGAGAAACAACTGTCGAAATAAAAGAATTACTACTAAATATAAAAGAAATACTAACAACAACAAATAATTACAGTAATAATAATAGACAGAATCAAATAATAAAAGAACTCAACGAAGCTAAAGAATTAGTAAATAATATTATTTCAAAAAATAAAGGAAAAGAAATAATAAATCCAGACGAAGATGAAAAACCAAAAATATTAGAAATAATAGAACAATTATAAGAAATAATCGAACGACTTAATCAAAATAGATATATCACCATGAAAGATTTACAAAATTATTTTAAAGAAACAAAAGAATTAGTTACTATCGATCAATCTAATCTTCGAATTAGATCACCACAAAAAATATAATGGAAGGATTAGATGATCAGATAGAAAAATTATCAACATTATTAGCTGCTCTTAATATACCCAAAGAAGAACACCCTGATGAAATTGAAAAAATTGTTTTAGACTATAGTAGTGACGAAAATCCCTACGAAAACCCATATGATAATCCCTTCCTAGTTAAAGCTGAACTAGAAAGAGGACAGACTAGTAATAGTAACACATTACCTAAATAACGAACACATGATGAATATCAAGGATATAAAGATTATGAATACGAATTATATCAGAACCAATATATTCTGAAAGGGAACAATTGGAGAAAAGTTCTTTTTAAATATATTCCAAAATATGATACGTTCAATATAAAATCTTCAGAAATACTAAATCTAGATTGTGAAATTAATCCAATAAGGACATTAGAAGATTGAAAAAATCGTACGAGTTTACTAATACAAACTAATAAAGAATTAAGAGAATTACACCCTCACGAAATGTTAAGTTACTTAGAACATAAAACATCAGGAATAGTATATAACTATTTAATAGGATTAACATCAGGAATAAAGGCTGAAAAAATTCTAAGATCAACTGCATGAGAAACATTTATTAGACTAATCGACGTAATAGGGGAAGAATTTCTTGGAAGAACTTCTAACGCACAACTAAGAGAAACACAAATATCAGAAGTTGCGTTATGGAAAATAGTGAATCTTAGAATTTGCAATATGTGCTATCTTTAAGCATTTATCTGTTAATTCAGAGATCACTATTATCAACTATCAACAGATAAAAAAATAGTAGCCGAAGAATTATTTTTTGATAAACTTCCTTTATCAATATCAGAAGAAATAAAAACCATATATCAAAACAAAGTAAATGAAGGACAAATCCCTAATACTTTAGGAGGAAGAATAACAACGTTAAAAGATTGGCATTTATTCCAATGCAACCAAGAAAAACGAAAACAAGAAGCAAAAATCGATAAATTATGTTGTGGAGTAATACCAGGACAAATAGGCAAATATGGTTGTGAACCTATTCGTCAAAAACATAAGAAAAAGAAATGGAGAAAAATCCCATATAAAAAATAGAAACGAAGAACTAATAGTAATAAAACTAAAAAAAACCCCGAAGATGACATTAATGTACCAAATAAAATGCAATATACCCACAGAGATGTGGAAGAATTTATCAAAGAATGCAAAGAATTATTAGATAAAGGTATTATACGAGAAAGTACGAGTCCACACTCAGCTCCAGCTTTCTACGTAGAAAATAATAATGAGATAAAACGAGGGAAGAGAAGAATGGTAATAAACTACAAAAAAACTAAATGAAGCAACAATTGGAAATAGTTATAAATTACCAAGAAAGGATTATATTCTTGAAAGAATAAAGGGAAAAAACTGGTTTAGCAGTCTTGATGCTAAATCAGGATACTGGCAACTTTGATTGTCAGAAGAAACAAAACCATTAACCACATTTTCATGCCTTCCACAAAAACATTATGAATGGAATGTTCTTCCATTTGGATTAAACAAGCACCAGCAATATATCAACAATTCATGGATAGAAATCTCCATGGATTAGAAGAATATTGTCTAGCATACATCAATGATATTATAATATTTACAAACGGATCACAATCAGAAAGTACTGAAAAATTAATCACCGTTTTAGAACGATGTAAAGAAAAAGGACTAATCATTTCTAAAAAGAAATCAAAACTAGTACAACAAGAAATTGAATATCTTGGATTAAAAATAAATAACAACGGAAAAATTGAATTAACAAATAATGTACATGAAAAAATACAACAATTTCCTAACGAATTAACAGATAGAAAACAAATACAAAGGTTCCTTGGTGCCTCAATTACGTTTCTGAACAAGGATTTCTCAAATCCTTAGCAAAGGAACGAAAACAATTACAAAAGAAAATATCAAACGAAATACCATGGTCTTGGTCTAACCAAGATACAAATTTAGTAAAACACATAAAAGAAAATATAAAGGTATTACCAAAATTATACAACCCAACGATCAAAGACTTCTTGATCATCGAAACAGATGCATCCAAAGAAGTTTGGGCAGGATCCATGTTAGCAATAAAAGATGGAAAAGAATTACTCCATCTTGATCAATACTGTCGTACCGATAATAATGAAGTATCAAAAACTGAAAAACAAAATATCATATTATGCAAATACATTTCAGGAACATTCTCAAAAACTGAGATTAATTATCCAATTCATGAGCTCGAAACACTTGCTTGTCTTCGAACTCTAAAGAAATGGAAAATTAAATTATTACAAACACGATTCGAATTAAGAACCGATTCACAATATGTAACAGGATTCTGGAGATATAAAATTCAACCAGAATTCCAAAAAGGACGATTAATTCGATGACAGTTAGAATTACATCAATTCGAACCATATAAAAAATATATTAAATCCGCAAATAATTGTTTTGCAGACACTCTAACAAGAAAATGGAAGGAATAATCAAGACAATTCAGAATCAAATCAGTCAGAAAGACAACCAGATTAAGATGATTCAGGAAAATCTCTCAAAACTCTTTGAGGAGAGGGAGGAGTTGATTAAATCTTTGAACATCATTATAAAAGCAACTGGCGGAACACCAGTGGAAGAAGATAAAAAACAAGAGCAAGCAGAATCAGAAAAGGTAACACTTCCTACTGACATCAAAGTGGAAGAAAAACAAGACACGTGGTATGCCATTTTCAATGGACCATTCAGAGGAATATACATTAACTACGCGATTGTTTCACAACATACCACCGGAAAGAAGGTTTCATACCAAGCTTTCCAGAGCAAAGAAGAGGCCCAAAAAGCCCTCAATGAATTATACAAAACCATGGCACAAAAACAACCAGTTGAACCAAAAGCCCAACTACCCTCTATAAGAATACCAAAAATAGCCCAAATACCAACCACCCGAGAAAAAGAAGCTATGAAACAAGTCACCCTCGAAAAATATCAGTCATACTGGGCATCCCTATTAGACTACAAAGAAAAACACACCACCATGGGTTTCTACCCAAATATGACCAAAGTCGGACCAAAAGCTATCTTCATTGGAGAAGTCAACCCATTACTACCTTTTGATTATCTCCAGCATGGATTAGTCGACAGTATCTATACTGACTCGATGAGAATATTCGAAGAATTTCCACGAAAAATGAAACCAATCATCAGAAATTACTTTGAACGATTTGCAAAAGAGAGAACTATTTTCATGAAGATTAAGAGCTCAATTCCGATCTTCGGAAAAGATAAGATTATACAGTCACAAGCGGTAATACACCTTGGAGTAGCAAAGGGAGAATTGCCTCCAAGGGATAATGCATCAGATTATGAAATTCCAGATGATTTGGAAGCTCATTCATTACTCGAAGTTTTCAAGGCATCAAGAAGGATCCTTGCGGATTCAGAGATCAAAGTTAATTATGCTAGCAGTAATGTGTTGATGATCACCTACAATAAGGAAACTATCTTGAAGGAAGAAATACAAGCAGTAGCAGATTTCGAATTAGACTTCTATCATTTAGAAGAAAAATTCGCAGGACTAGAAGAATCTATCAAGGAACAGCTCTGCAGCTTTCTAATGAGATATGACGACCATAAATGCACTATCTGCAAGGAGCTAAAAGACAAGATGAAAAGGACCATTCAACCACCATCCGAAAAGTCTGAAGACATGTGAAGAAAAAATCATGTGAATAATTGATGTAATATGTTGGACCCAATAAAAGATAAGGTTATCAAAAACCTTATCTCTGTAATCTTTATTGTATAATTATGTAATGCCATGTGTGTGAATCGGGCCCCGGTTTGAGATTCTTATCCTAACCGATAGGGTTCCAAAGTTGTATAAATATGAGCTCTCTCTGTTTGGAGAACTCAGAGTGAAAAAACGAATTTGTTTCAGAACTCTCTCTGAAAAATCTCTCTCAAGAGATTGGCTTGAAGATCTCTATCTTCTGGAGGCCTTGAACAGATTTCTTTGAATCACAAACCAATTATTCCAGAATTCTGGAACCAAACACTAGCCCAAACCAAAATCAAAAAACCGATCAGATCTCCGGATCACCAACAAGGAAACGATCATCACCAACACCAACAAACATGGATTATCTACAAAAACAAATCAGGTATGGCATCAACCTCTACATTTGATAATTTTATACAATCAGATGAAGAATATTTCTTTGATGGAATTATAGACATAAATAAAATAAGAAAATTAAGTTTTGATCTTCAAAAAGATGAAAACTTCGAACAAACCATATTAGAAAAGATAAAGAAACAATTATCAATAACAAATATAATAAAGTTCAGAATTATGGTAGGAGAAACACCAGTACCAATTGAACAAACCACAGGAGAACTTATTCTACCAATTATTAACAAACAACAAATCTTAGAACGACTAAGAAATTGTCCCGAAAAACAAAGAAAACAGATATCTTACATACACTGTAGTACTATTCAAATAATTATAAAATCAACATTCAAAGAAGGAATCGATTCCCCGATTACCTTTCAAATTAGGGATGATAGATTAACCAATTATAAAGAAAGTATTATAGCTGAAGGAAGAGGAAATCTTTCTTCTGGAAAAATTAAATTTAACATTAATATACAACTTGGATTATCTCTAAAAGATAAAGATTTAGATAACTCTATAGTCATTCAATACAAACTAGATAGAACAGATTTCATAGAAAAAGGAAATCACCTTTTTTCTATAACCTATCAGATAAACTACGCATTAACAAATAGCCATCATAGTTTAAATTTCAGGAACAAGGAAATTATAGAAATAGATGATTTATTTAAACCAGTAATTCATTTAAAAAGACCATTAACAACAATAGAACCAGCACGTAGATCATTGTTACGACTTAATCCAAGATTAGAAATACAAGAACCACCATCCTTATTATTCAACACTGAATAATCAGAAGAAAAACAGGAAGACTACTCTAGATTGCGAAAAATAATATCTCAAATCAATAACCTTACTAGATGAATTTCAACGAAGATTTTATCGAAAAACTATCCTTACTAAACCTAGAAAGTCTATCATGTCTTGATCATCTTGAACAATTATTAGTTGAAGTAATAAAAAGTATATTTAGGGGACGAACTTATGGAACAATTGAACGAAATGAACTTAACGAAGAAAATCGAAGAATAAGAATGATTAGTGCAATATTCAATGCAGTAAGAGAAATTAAAAGGGATATTATGAATTCTGATGAATAAAATGGAAAAAATATACAAGAAAAATATTGAATTATTAAATAAACCACAACGAAATTTTGAAGCGGAAAGTAGTTTAAGAGGAATGCAACGTACAATAGAAAAAGAACAAATTAATCACATAATTACAGAATTAAATAAATTAATTACAATAAAAGAAATAAAAATCGAATATTTCAGAAAACGTTCGGCAAAAGATAATTATGAAGGATCATGGCTTCCTTTTCTGGAAGAAACATTAAAAATAATAAAGGAGATATTAGGTTTTTTCGAAAATGAATTAAAGTCTTATGAATAAAATAATAATAAAATATAATATTATATTGAAAGACAAAATTGGAATTATCGAAATTACAAGGTCACCATGAACCATGAAGTATAATCGACATTTGAGGTTATTATTGAAAAAGCCCCGTTTTAGTAATAGATAGTTTCCAGTCTCGCACTTCGCAGCCATGTCAAGTTTGGAGGAGCCACTTGGTTTTGACAAGCTGCCAAGAATGACCATCGATAGAATCCAGAGATTTTCATCTGGTGCTTGTCGGCCCAGGGCTGATGATTTGGGCATGGGAGTCTGCTGGATTGAGGGAAGGGATTGCTTCACTTCAAACAATTGCAAATAAGTGGGTTTTATCATTCGTGGTGTTCGAGAGTGAGCTCGCATTATTCAGTGCTATATCAGTGAAGATGTTATCAAATTGTTTCTTTGCAAGTTGAAGGCGTCCTCCTTTCTTTACAATATCTAGTTTCCTTTTGCTTGTTTCAAAGTGCAGATACCAAATTATCATTTCTTACGATCGTGAAACTTCTGATTATTTACAGTGATGATGTTTCTTTTGTCATCACAAAAAACGCTCTATGGAAATAAAAGAAGATCTGCCTCTTTATAGAAAACACGAGTGAAATAAAAACAAGTTGACTAGAAGAAAAATAACGAAGTTCTCTACCGAAAGAAGGAGATCATTTTAAATTCTCCGGTATTGCAAAGGCGTGAGAGATATGTCTTAAGGCATAAGGTTCTACCCTATGTGACACGTCACCTAGAAAGAAAACCTAAGGCATCAATAGATTTTCTTAACAAAGACTTAGCTTCTTCATTCTTTTCGACTTCGAGCAGAGAGAGTATCTCCGCCTTGAGATCCACGTCGTCCACCCGATGCGCCGATGAAACCTTGCGATACAGATGGATGAGATCAAGCAGGCATTGCGAAGCCGCCACATGAACCTGAGGTTTATGGTCAAAACATTCAAGAAGAAGCATAAGATTCCCACAGATACAGCAATAAATATCAACTCAGGATTTCAAAGACTGTTGGTAACAATGGAAATGGATATACTATTTATAAATCTTAGTCTTGAGCATTCATGGGAATTGCAGAAAAAGTAGCATATTGTTCGGTTTTAAAAGATCTACCGCTACTGCAGAAATCTTGGTAAGTTTTTTGGTTTTCATCAATTTTGAATTTGTGCAAGAATTAAACAGATAAGAGCTACAGATAGAGAATAACTTACGTGAGCAATCTTGACGGTGTTTATGCATTCCAGTAATTTAGGGATCAAAGTGAGATAGATCTGAAACCGCAGCAGAAAAATTCAGTGCACCAATAGAAACCGCGTATACATATGAATAAACTCAGAGCAAATACCTCATGAGTGAAGGAAGTTGCATCGCCAGGTAAAGGCCCGTCCGTAGAGTCATTCCACAGAGTTTGTAGTCTTGAACAAAGCTCTTTTATAGACGAAATTCCCGATATTTTCGCTGCCCAGAGGAATCAGATTAGCAAAGGCAACAAACAAAAATGTTAGTTCCTACAAGTGAGAGTAGGTAGAGAGAGAGGAGTACCTGACCATGGGAAACCCGGTGACAAGGAAATTATAAGAATATGAACCAAATCTGCTTTCCGCTTAAGAATGTCATCTGTGTTCGCCACATTGATGCACGACTTAAAACAGTCCATGATTTTGTCGAGCGGAATGTAACCCTCTTCCACATTATCAGACTCTGCAAAGAAGAAAGTTACAGTTTACATCATGTATACCCCTCCATGAGTAATGGTGACTCATTTCCTCAATTGGTTTTTGGAGTTCAGAAGGTTTAACAGTATTCTTGGAAAGGCAAAAACTTGACATGCAGTGCAGATAAGCCTATGCTTATCCTATGCTTCCAGTAGAAGTAAATATTCACCCCACTAAATGAGGCATGATGCAGGTTTAATATGACCACACAAATGATGCAAAGGTTTTTAATGTTGAACCAAGGAACTTGTAAAATTGAATATTGCTTGTATAACAACCAGTTTTAACAGCATCACTTGTTGATGAAGCTCGTCCAATGATATTGACAGAGGCTGTATTGCACATCTCATAGAGCAACGGGAAAACAGCATCGAAAAACTCTGGATTTCTGAAAGCTTTTATCACCTGAAAACATGAACACCAAAAACCTTAAAGATCCTTAAAGATATACAAGTGAACAGAAGAAAAACCTCCAGAATCCTCAGCAAGAGTGAAAGCGCAATAGAAAACCATTTCCCTCCAAGAACACAGTATAATTAGACAACACGTCCGTTGTTTCTTCAAACATTAAAAACTTATGCTGAAGACTCATTTCAGGATTTAAATGTAAACCAAGGAACTATCCACATAATACATCTATTGTAGTCTGGAGATCCAACACTGTAGACGAAGTCGCTAATTAACCAGTTACAAAATAATAAGCCTGATCTTTTCACTCACCTTCTCCAGACAGCAGAATGCCGATTCACGATATTTTTTGACCTTCTTTCCACACGCAGAAGACACAACACTCAGAATGGTACTAGGAGTTGTTGGATCCGCGGTAGATATTGACTTGTGGCACGAGGTTGAAAGAGCACCTAGTGCATCCAAAAGAGCATCCTTTCCCTGTGATCACAACAACTGTGAGAAACTAACAGGTAAAAAAGCACCAGCTCGTTAAACATTTATACCTATCAAGCCACAAAAGGATACAGGAACAGGAGAAGCAAATTTAGATAGAGCAATAAAACTAAAGTCACTCTCAAATATAATCCTTTTACTGACAACGATCTCTTCGAAAGCTCTTTTTGTTCCTTTGGTACTTCTAGAAAACAACAGGAGGAAAAGAACTCGTCCCACCTCCCAAAGCCGTCCAGGAATTTCCTTCAGGAGACATTGCAGCAAAATGCTGTGGTGCGAAGATAATGATTCACCCAAAGCCTCAGCTAGTTTGCAAATTGCCCGAGCAGACTGAAAGCAGGCGTTGTTTTAGTACCACACCAAAAAGACTGATTCAACAAGCAAGATAGAAAATCCAGCAGGAGAAAGATCAATGCTTGCCTTCTTTTTGCTGGCCCATGAAGATGATGTGATGCTCTCACAAAGAAGACTGACAATTTCTTCCAGAAATAACTGAAGGGTTACTCTTTCACCACTTGTACTGTCTTCCCAGACCTCCTCAAAAAGGCCAGAAATCTGTTTATCATCCTCGAATCTGCAATTTCATCATCTGTGCTGGTTAGCGAGCATTTTCAAATGGAAAATAAGAAAAGCACGACCCAGTAACGAGGCTACTATTTCCAGAAACACTGAGAATAGATTTGAAGATGGCACAGGAAGTTTTGTCAACAAACTGGTCCGGAAAAAGTTAATGTGAAGCAAATGGTCTGGAAATACTGCATGGATCTTACTTGGGGTTGAAATTTTAAAAAGGGAGTTTAGGATCATCTAGGTCTGCTTTTTATTATCATTTCTTATTCTTAGTTTACAAAATTCTCCAATTAAATACTTGCATTTATTAACACCTCATTTGCAAGAGACATGCAAGTTAATGTTCAGCTCCGAAAGAACAGATACAACTGCAAGGCTGAACGACACATAATTGTACCTGGAAATAAATATAGCTGGAACGATCGCTGATTGATGGCTGGCCACAATGTCGGAAGCTGTGGACGAAAAGCTTTTGAAAAGGATTGCACATGAGATCTGGGAATTCCTGTCACCAGAATGCAGTGCCACTATATCCTCGATTAACCTTTCGGCCTGAGAGGGACTAGAATACTTCAATACAAGGCCACATGCACTTGCAAAGGCACGTTTTGCTGCAGCACTTTTCTCCTCCTTTGCAACTGGAAACAAAAGTCTGAGCAGCATGCCAGTGAATGGCTTTATCTCGATACCAACTTTCTGAACTAGTAACGAGATGAAGCTGGCAACACCAACCCTGTTTCAGGAAAATGAAAAATCCACAAATGATCAGAAACAGCCTCTAGCACTGCCATCACGAAACCTCATAAACATCATGAGGGCCGAAGCCATGAATATCATTGTTCATCAGATCCCACAAAAACCATTTGCCTATCTCCAAGGAAATTGTCGAGCTGAAAAATAAAAAACAATAAGCTACTGGCACAGTTTGAGTCTATGCAGAAGGTAAAATGGAATGGAATTTCATTACAGGCAATAATGAGACATTAAGAACGATGCAGATGCACTTAATTCTAACTTGGAGGTACAGGGTTCAGTATTATCTCAGAATAGCTTAATTAGAGAAGACAAGAAACATATCCCTTTTTACTCCTAACCCTTATTTATGTTGCTTTTAGCGGAAGAAAGTGACAAAAACCGGAATTTAATGAAAGAGAGTTCTAATAACATAAAAGCAGGCAGCAGGCTGAGTATCTGTTGTTTATCTAGTTTAAAGGTAAATATTATCAGGCTTAACTCAGACTGGAACGCTAAGTTGGACATACATTGGCATTCTATCTCTATCTTCAAAGTCATGTTTTGTGACAAAGTTAAATTCACTGAGTCTACACAGATTACACAGTCCAAGTAATCTTGTGCCCTCCCCACCGTGCAGAGACAGGAAATATGCAACCCGGAAGCAAAAGAAACTAGAAAATAGAATCTTCAAAACCCTTCAAAATCACATTGATAACTTGCAGGTAACATTATTTTGAAATAGTGGCGACTGGTTAACAGTTCAGAACAATTGATACCAAAACAGAAACACAGAAAGAAGGTACAGAATTAAGAAAACAAGCATGCAGTGAACCACGAGAAAATATGTACGAAGTAGAAATAACCAATTCGAATTAGGCGGACTACTGTTCCACGTCATTGAGTCTTTACTGGGAAAATAGATAATCAGAAATGAAACAACCCATGACTACAAGGTAACAGAATTAAGTTGAATTGCTTCTGATAAAATAGATTGTTGGGTTGTTTCTGAGCATTTCTCTCAAGATACCATGACTAGGCAATTCAAACGTCCTTTTAAACGCACAGAACAATAAAATACTCCAATGGTTTACATTAAGTTATCGTGTATCATCTATAATTTGTGAAATTGGAACTCTTATATTCCAAGCCACTTGATTTTCCCGTTCAAATTTGGAAAATACGCAAGGCTCTAATCAACCTGCAGTAAAGCAATATGGGGAGATCCACAACTGTACATCCATTTTCTTTTTTGTAAATGGTTTACCAGGAATTACTTTTAAATGAAATCATGTGGTTCTAGATTGTGTTATGATTTGTCATCAACTAGACAAGAGTCAGAGAACAGCCAGAAAAAAAAAAGGTACTTTCAATCTAAGGTTGTACACCAACTATATATGCTACTAATTAAGTGTTGGAAATTACTGACCTTGTATTGAGGCCAACACCAGCACGAACCAGCTGAGAAAGGCGAGGGATCAACTGATCTAGTGATTCTCTATTCACTATGTTGATGCACAGATCAAGAGTTTCCCACATTGGGGAGCCTTTTGATATTGAAATTCGTAAATTTTCAAGTTTCTCGGTTTCTATGCCAATATTTGCAGCATGCAACTGAGAAAAAAACAAAAGAAGGTGAATATATATAAGAATAAAAAAAATTAGAGAGGTTCACATGAAAGATGCATAGTTCAGATGATGGCAAACCTCAACGTAGTTGAGTCCTTGGTCTTCAAGACTAGACAAACTTTCCAACATACAGCATACCAGGTCCGACAAATGTGGACGGAGGGCAATTCCAGCACCCTTCAAATGAAAGCAAACAAACATTCATTTGTAAGGATAAAAGACTATCCCTAAAGGCATTTCAGTTCAGCAGAGCGGGCATGTAATCTAAAAGTGTAATGAATCATATGATGCCAATAAAATACAGTCACTGCAATAACCATGCTGGCATCTATCAATGGCATACACAAGACAAAACAAAATTTAATATGCCGGATATATGTTCCGTTCACTGCCATTCTCCCAGATAAATGCACACATATAATAGAAAGTTGAGCATGCCACATGTTCATTCATTGTCCTAAATATATGGAAATAGTATTCACTTGTCATTTCTTATTTTTTCCCAAGAAACCCAATACGTTAAGAAAAGCAGAAACCCAAAACAAACTATCACAAAAGTACACAGCAGTTCTTTACGAGCAGAACTCCTTTGATTAATAATCTAATATGCAATAAAGAACTAACCTTCGCAAGTTTCATAACAACTCCAATCGAAGCCTTGCGTACACTGTCGACTTTACTCAATATGCCTTCTGAAAGCAAAAATGGCAAAACAATACCCATTGCTTCTTTTGCATCTGATAGATCAGTCAGTGTGACATCACAAAGCCTTATGGTCAAGGATGTCACAGCACGGCATAACTTGTCACCAGCATTTCTTACAGTCTCTTTGATGTCATCCATAGCACGGAAAGCTGCTATCCATAGTCTTTTCAGATGCTTTTGAATCTAAGTCAGAATATAGCATAATTGAAAAAAAAAAACATTGAGAACATCATTATATTAATTTAAGCAGTGAAACAACTTAGATAATAAATTATGGACAGGAAACAATTTAAAAAAAAAAAGAAACAACTAGATAGCCGGGTAATTTGATGTCCTATACTCTTGTAGAAAACTTAGATTGGAGATACTAAACTAGTTACTAGAACAGAAAATTATAAACTGAAGAAATAAGTCCACATAATTATCAGGGAAGTGATATGAGATATGAAAAAAGTAGCAATCCTCTATTATTATATAGAGAACAGAAAACGGAAATGCTCAAAATGTGAAGTTCGCACACTCCCTCAAAATAATTAGTACTTGAAATTGTAAAAACGATTTTTTGACAAAGAATGGAGAACCAAAAGAAGAATCAGAAAGTTTCACTTTACAATAGCTAGAAAAAGCAAGACCAGTACCTGGTCAAACTTCCGTCCTTGAATAATATCTGCAAGGGCATGACATGAAGCCTCACGGGAGCGCCAGAGCCGTGAACCACATTGTACCAACAAATCATCGAGAATGAGATCCAAATGATCATCAACGGTTTTCCTAGGATCTTGCACCAATGATTTCCATATATGCGCCATAGCGTCCTATGAATATTACATGAAAAGGAGCATTTACTAAAAGAAACAAACAAATGTGAACCATTGGATGGTCATCCTTCATAAAAGGATGAACAACTGGATAAGCTCAGCAGACCTCTTCCCTTATGCCAGCAGCTGTCTTCCTAATAGTACAAGGAGGACCAATTTTCTTTCTTTCCCTTTCCCCCATTTTATCATAGAGCCATGACATCATATACAAATTGTGCAATAAAGATACGCAAAAGATGGTGCGGAAAGCAGGTTTCAAAGAAATGTGCTACACAATCAGAGGAAGTAGCACAGCAGTAACAAAATGATGCATGCAACCTATTATCTCATTTTGTTCATCTCCTGTGTGACATTTATATATTCAGCAAGGTTCACAAGTGGGACAAAACACAGCATCTATCTAGAATTTGAGGGAAAAATTGTCCATGTGCTAACTGAACAGACTGGAGTACGAATGGCAATTTCAGTAGGAATAGTCCCAAATTCTTGACTATCCAACACTGGACATTCTGGGAGCTTCAGGAAGCTAACCTGTACATTCTTGTCAGGATCATATTGGTAGCGAATCAATCTTGGAATCAACAACCGTAAGTGAGGTTGGAGAGCATCTCCAGCTTGTTTGGCTATTTTTGAGAACCCGAAAGCAGCTCCTCTTTTCGAATTAAGAGAAGCTTGGTGGTTGGCTAAATCCATAAATTTGTATATCAAGTCTGGTTGCCCCATTTCATTTGCAAGACTGCAAAGCTCCTTGTACGTGCTAAGCTTACCCCCACTGGGACTCTCACCAACAGTTCCTTCTTGAAAAACTTCAGAGTCCTCAACAAGCTAGATAACAGAAAACCTTAGAACCAGACAATTAAAGTCAACATCAGATAAAACCTGCATGAGTTTACTTTTACCTTTATAGCTCGTTTCCTTTTGCCTGTACCAGTTAAGGTGTTTACGAGAGCATCTACCAGGTTTTGCTTCATTGATGCATCACCAAGGTCATAAACAATGCTCATTCCCTGAGATGCCAGCTCCTGCGTAAGTTCATTCTGGTCACCTAGCAAATGTGAGAAGGCTTCCTGCAAAACAAAACATCGATATAGACATATGAGCATTTATACAAGCACAGATTGCTTCGAGGAATGTAACCCAGAGTGATCTGAACAACAAAAGGGTATTTCAATCAAAAAGATAAAACAAAAATGCCGTTGGACGTCTGAAGAAATATAATAAACAGACAACCTGATACTGCTTCTCTCGAGATTCCAAACGAGTAGTGCATGTAAAATAATTAGCACATAAAGCTATTAATCTTTCTATCACTTGTGTAAGGTACACATGGAATTTGAAAAAAGACCAAACATGTCCATAAAAGGAAGCTAAACCAGTAAGGAAACATCTGCCAGTCATTAGCCGACCTGGATTTCAGGAAGCATTTGTTGGATGGATGGATGGTGACCAGAATACATTGTCACAGACAGTAACCAGACAGTTCCAGCACAACGCTCATCCTTTCTGCTACTGTACAGCAGAACATCAAAGAGTTTTCTGGTGATAGTTTCCCGGGCAATGGCATGGCTGTCTTCTCCAACTTCATTTTCGACATCAGACTTATTATTTGACAAAGAGTTCACTTCTCGCATAAGAAAGTTTGAGTTCGTAGAAAGAGAAGTATAGTTGGTTTTCAGAATCATATCGGCAGTTACTGGCACACCACCCCAGATGAAAGATAAAGCCTCGCCGGCAGCAAACAAGATTTCTTCAACCTGTCAACCACAAATGCAAAAAAAAAAGGGTGCACATACACACACAAAGGCAGGGATTTATGTTAGTAAACACTCTGTAGGTATAGGGCTTTTATACACTATAAGCTCCATGTTAGTTAGATTGTCCTAGTACATCAGTGTAAGACTCTGGATTTAGGAACCTAACATCACTGTCTAATCATGTCTTTACAAGCTTAATATCCAAGTCCGTTACTTTCAGACAAAATTTAGGAATCTTGGATGATAGTCAATTCTATCTGTGCTTGTCTAGACGTAAAAAAAAATGAAAACAAGGGATTGACTATGTGAAAACTGTTAACATCACCACTCACTTTTGATCGTGAAAGGCTGAATATGAGATCCAGTGCTGACTTAAAGTGTGAAGATGATGTTTCTTTTGAACATATATGGCCAACCGCAAGAACAATTTTCTGAATGGCTTTTATATCATCGCCAGAAAGTAGCTTGCTCAATTTTTCTTGCAGAACTCCCAACACTTGAGCCCCTGATAGACTGAGTTGATCAACTGAAAACTCATGCACAAGTTTTCACAGAATCGTGACTGTATTTAGAAGCAGACATGAACCAACCTGGGCAAGAATCACTAATGAGACGAGGTAATGCTGCACGGAGACCAATATGGCCCAGAGCTTGCATAGCAACAGAGGCCAGTTGTGCAGTTTCCGAATTAACTCTATCAGTCAGAAATTTTACCGTGTCCTGTATAACTGCTTCTGGAATCTGTTTTACGAAATCTTAATCAGAAATTCAGAATTGAATAATAAAATATTGGAAAATACACTGCGGTTTCACAAACAGATATGAGGACGTATTAAGTTGACAAATCTGATCTATCAGTGAAGAGAATCACAAAGAATCAACAAAGACAAGCAGCAACACTAAAACAACTCTATTTGAAATGATAACAAAGATCCGTTCTCAGGCCATCAAAAAGATGCCAAACTGAACTTTAGCATAATAACACCATTATTTCAAACAAATTCTGAAGCGCGGGGGAGATTGGAGAGAACTAACAAAGTGAAGAAAAAATGTTTTGAACACAACCACCTCATCAATTGTTCCAAGGGAAGAGGGGGGTGAAGATTCAAAGGAAAAATATCCCAAAAATTGAGAATGGGAGGCACTCTTGTTCAACTGAAGACAATTTGCATTTACGCATTCACCATGAAAAAGTGTAATGTCTAATTACAATCATTAAGGATTGTCAATAACTTACTTTTGAATGCATTATTTCCGTAATGAAGCAAACTTAACTGATATTAAGTTTAGTTAATAAAAACCAAGGCTCCTAACCAAGCGAATTTTAAAAGTTTTTTTGCAGAAATAGCAATTTTACATGTTTCAAACGATTAAATAGTGAATAATATGAAACAGCAGTATTCAAACGACAATATAATGAAAGCTAAATAAGGTGATGACTAAGCGATGTTCTGCTGCACTGAAAAGAAAAGAGAGAGATAATCATGGATGCTTAGGTGATCATACAAAAGATCAGAAAAGAAATTACAAAAACTTACAGCAGGAGTCCTTGACAAACAGTCAGCCGCCACATATCCAATGGCACATAATATTCCGTGCTGTGCTTCAAACCTAGAAAGGGAATAGGTCAGCTCTAAAGAAAGAATGAAGCTGTTATAATTGACACTGGCTTTTTTGCAGGTACAGACTCTCAAAGTAGCACATCAGACCTCAACTTCTGTGGTTGGCTAACAGAAGAAGCCAACTCACGGAGCAAAGAACATGATTCAGCATCAGAAAGAGCAGAGGATGCAATTCCTAGCAAGCGTCCTGCAGACTCACGAGTACTGAAGTCCATATGGTTAAGTAACTGCCTTAGCCAAGCAATTTTGTGAGAACAGTAAACTGCGACCATCTGCATGTGGAAAGAAAGGACAGGAAAGGGGAGTGTTTGAACTTAGAATAGATTTTGCTAAGTAAAAGGAAAGAGAGAATATGTCATCACAACAAAGGAATCAGAAAGCAAACTGGTAAACCTCTGAAGTGAGGTTTATCACGAACCTCTTGCAGGTGAGATCCGATTGTAACGAATGCCTTGGAAGCACAAGCATGCAATTCATATGAACCTTCAAATGCTAGTGAATGCTCCAATAACAAACACATTCTTTGTGCTGAAGATAAAAACTCAGATGATGTTGCTAGGGAATTGCTCTGCTCCATCTCTAACTCAAAACACTTCAATAGAAACTTAATCATGACCACATATACTTGTGAGGGAAAGAAGGATAAAAGACTATCCCTAAAGGCATTTCAGTTCAGCAGAGCGGGCATGTAATCTAAAAGTGTAATGAATCATATGATGCCAATAAAATACAGTCACTGCAATAACCATGCTGGCATCTATCAATGGCATACACAAGACAAAACAAAATTTAATATGCCGGATATATGTTCCGTTCACTGCCATTCTCCCAGATAAATGCACACATATAATAGAAAGTTGAGCATGCCACATGTTCATTCATTGTCCTAAATATATGGAAATAGTATTCACGGAAAGAGAAGCTTTTGCCCTCTTATTTCTGAAGAGTCTAACAATTTTGGCTGCTGCTTTAGAATATATTCCAGCATGTCACCAAATCGTGGGTACTTGTTGTCAAGATTAGAGACTATATGGCGACCTTCATCTTTCAGAAAGAGTCCTTCAAGCGCTAGTTCCCTAAATAAAGGGATGAAAAAAGGAAACGATCATAGTCAATAAAAAAGAAAGTATTAGACACTAACGAAGCACTGAAGATCATATCAGAATTGACTTGTGGAAAGAGAATTTTTCGACTGGAAGCCTTCTTTCATTAGCCGCAGCAGCTGGGTCGAAAAGATCTTTCCCAAATACTAACTTGAACAAGATATATAAGGAACTACATGCTTGTACTATAAACTGAATGGACATGATCAGACAACTCAACAGGAGGAAAAAAAATAGCAGAGATCAAATTCAAAATAACCATGTCAATATAACTGCAGTACCTTATATCTAGCTTTGAATCTGCTGCACTGAGCATGCAAATATACCGACTTGGGCAATGTTGTGAACTGGATAATGAAGTTGCCCATCTCAAAGCACAGAAGCGTGCTTCGCTTTGCTCCTGGTCAGCACAAAAAATTGAGAAGTTCAACAAATATTTGATCGGGTCGTACCAAATTATAGTTATGAAAAGCATACAAAGGCTGAAAATCAATTAATCAAAGTTCATGTCAATTTAAGTGTAACAAGCATACCGCCTGAGAATTTTCCAACAGAAGCACCTCCAAATCTCTGAGTATATTCTCCGGTGCATCCTGAAAAAATTAATAAAATGTTTCAGAGAGCTTTCTTAGAGACCTATTCAGAGCTTAATACTGCCATTTCTGTTTCAGACAGAAAAAAGAATTTCATTTCTTAGAAACGTTCTACAATGCCCCTTCAAGATTTGAAAGACAACACATTTTGTCAGACGGGAAAGTTTAAACGAAACTATCATAACATTTTTCAATAGGAGGGCCAAAATCAACAACAAAGAATCAAAAATGAAATTTGGTATAAAAAAAAAGAACAAACCTTGTAAGCAGCAGCAACTGAAATGGTTGACTCTTGGATGGTTGAGCGGACAGATTGAGTCTCCAGCTTCAGTGCGTCAAAAAGACGAACAGCAATGTCAGTCTTTTCTCTGAAATTTCAGTTTACAATGAAGAATCTAGTGAGAAAAATGAAATGCATATTAAGTATATAGCAGTAGAAAGAGATACATAACCTAAAAAGCTGAGGCAAGCGTTGCCCAATCAAGCCAATTGCTTGAAAAGAAAATGTTTTGGTCTCCCTTGCAAGAGCATCTGAAAGGAAAGGAAAGTAACCTATAAACTTGAATCCATTTTTAACAACTAATTAAACAGAAAGATAAGGGAACTAGCAAATTCTTTTTGTTTTCAAAAGCTGACCCGCTTCTGAGGTAGAGTAGCCATCAAGCATTTTCAGAATAGCATTCAGTATAACAGGACCCATAAGTTTCAGTTGTTCTATTTTCCCCTGCAATTTGGAAACGAGACAAAGGACGAAGTATAAGAAAATCAGAAATAAAGATCCATAAAAAGGACTCGTATATAAGAGGTGCTCTAAGAAATTACTAATGCTGATGCAGATTTTCAACATCCACTATGACTCTTTGGAAAGAGGTACTCTTTCAAGTAGGACTTGAATGGAAACCGCAAGAATAAAAAATGAGTACATGTGATCCTGAATGGAGTAATTCATTAAAAAACACCAGACAGGAAAATCTATTTTAAGTATGAGAAGAAGATACATTTCCATAAGAAAAGTGATAGATGTGCATTTTTTATAGGTCTAGACATCCATGTATCCTCTTCGTTATTACACAATACAAATAGAACAGATATTACGAGGATACGAGATGTGTAAGGAGATCGACATTACATGCTTAAACACCCAGACAGTGAACTCCATTCCCATTTGCTTGAGCCTCAACGTTGTTCCGCTTCCTTTCAGATGGAAAAAAAGCGGAAAAAAGTTAACAACCGACAGGAAACTAAAAAAACGAATAGACATGGAAAATTCAATTCATAGGAAACAGGAACATAATCTCTGCTTGCATCTCAGTGATGCGAATTCTGGAATAATAGAGCAAAAGAAAAGGAAAAAGCCCCAAAGTTTTCCGAGTTGGCTTTATTAAGCCACTAAACAAATTTATGAGCCTATTACTTTATAAAATCTATCAATCTGGTTTTCTACTATGTTAACTCCGTCCATATTGCCTAATACAACATGACCTTCATCAATTTGGTCTAATACAATACGAACTCAACAATTTATCCCTGCCTTATAAAATAAGGATTTGATTGATATTTACTTATTTATGTCTTAAGGATTTAGGGTAAACTAAAGAAACTGAAGGATTGATTGCATGAGGCAACTAATGAATTCCAACCATTTTCTAATTTAGAAAACAGAATTAATAAGTCCTCTTGAAGGATCGATCAACTGGCTAGCCAGCTAGGTGTCTGTATAAACAAATGATGTAGCATCAGCTCCTAACCAAACAATGCTTCCTTACAGTAGTTAAGGAAACAGAGTACAACATCGAACCGCCATTGCCTGTTTCCCTTGACTTAAAAAACAGAAAGTTTGTAGAGCAACTGGTTCATATTTCATTCACACCCTAGCGAGGTATCCTAAAATAAGATGAGATAGCTGGGCATATGTTTTTCACATTTATTCCAACTCCATTCTTACATATCTGCATGACAGATGATGATCACCAGGACTTTTAATTGATACAGTATATCACATAATTGTGCAACGTACCGTATATACAACCAAAAATGCACTGTAATGTCGCTGGGAAACTATTTGCAGCAGTAATGGAACGAGAGAAGACAGACATAAGCTTCACTTTCAAGCTTGCATTTACAGGAGTTATTCGATGTTCTGGGGCAACATGTTCAGTGGGGGTGGTACCTGCATAGAGTCATAAACAGCCAATCGATAATCCAAAGCTAGGGTTGCATGAACAAGAAAAATAGAAAGTACCCAAACATAAGAAATCTGCACAACCGGTCTAGACACTCAGATTTACTAAACTGTCACAGATTGTTTTAACTAAAAATATCCTTTTCACTAGCAGTGAAGGGAAACTTGCACTGGAGTTATGCCCTATCCGCCAAGTCAAAGCGTAGCCAAAGCAACTAAACTTCAACCTTTCAACTCATATTAAACATAGAACTAAATACTAGGAAAAACTGCTATTATATATTTGCAAAGCGCACAAAATGATTGGAATATGTCCACAAGAAAGCAATCCAGAGATAGAAAACCAATAGAAGGATCACATACCATTGAACAGTATGAACAGTCTGTTAATCAAGTTTGGATCATCCAAATTAGCACCAGAAGTTTTCTTCTTTAGCAAATCCTCACCTTTCTTAGCTACAGGCTCTTGACTAGAATGAATATTCACAAAAAAAAAGTTAAAAAAAATATATCCACTCTTAGAGTCATGAAAAAGTCAAGACAAAAAATGTGAAAGGGAATAACAGAAGAGATTTATGTCATGCAATGGAAACAAATCATACCTGTCCACAGATGCAGCAACATACAAAGGATATACAAGTTCACCAGGCAGATCCATGGTCCCAATGACATTCAATATCCCTAACTGATTGACAATTGATTTTTGGTTGATAAAGTGCTACAAAATAATAGGAAGGGATGCTCTTTAATATTCAAACTCAACGTACCTTTCTCCTTGTAAGTGTATCCCCTTTCAACATTTGCTTTCCCACGATCCGGTTGATTTGGAAAACTGAAAGGCCAGGAGGAGATCCTCCGCTGAAATAGAAGATTAAGCTCCTCTTGTTAAATGCGAAAAGAATTGGTAAGTCGTAAGATAATTGCATGCTATCCAACAGAGATTTCAGACCCTTGAGGCGACGGTTGATACAAAATCATATGAAGGCAAAATTCCAGAAACAAATCCTTGTCCTGAGAGGCAACCAAAGATTTATACTTTGCAGATACGTCATCACTGATCTGACTAGCATGACACTCACCAATCACCTGAAAACAATTCAAAAATAATTACTTTACATGACCCATCAAAAGGTCAATTGCAGTAAACAGTTCAAATTGAAAATTGGGAATTGCTTTTTTTGCAAGAAGTGGCACCAACTGTTTTGCCAATGATTCTTCTCATACCTTCTATTATTTTATTACACTCTGGGGATCACTAGTTATTGTTTTCATGAACTTCGCTTCATGGTTGCTTTTAACTTCTATTAACTAGTAAAGGCACATATTTCAAGTGCTATTCATCCATTATAGACTATCCATCAAGTAATCTAAAGAGAAACTTTGATGGGTGCCTTAGTCGCCAGTGGCATGTGTGAATTAAGTAAATGTTCAGAATAACCACTAGAAAGTTAGAGGAGGAACCATCAGATAGCTGAACATGCAAAAGGAGGTGTCACTATAAACAAAGGCTGAAGCCAACATATCAGTATTGCCGTCTAGATAATACAGAGCATTTCCTAAAAGAAAATTAAGGGGGGGAAAGGCTGAATACAGGCCATACAAATATAGATATCCATATTTTCCCTGAAGATAGAACTGAGAGGCAACCTTAACGACAATTCTCAAAATAATCTCCTGGTGTTGCTGAGGAAGCTTTGAAACATTTTCTAGCATCACAGACGCAACGACCTCGGTTTCCTAGAAGACAAAACATGAATCAGTTCACTTGCACAGTAAAAGATACTCACCGATACAGACAAGAATATGCAAATCTTCCGATCAATACTGTCGTACCGATAATAATGAAGTATCAAAAACTGAAAAACAAAATATCATATTATGCAAATATCAACGCCT